GTATTACTGTCAACTTAGACACTGTGCACAACTTAACCTTAAGTATAGGCCTTTGGGGAAGGTGGGAAGGTGATATAGGTACAAGTCAGGCCCGTGTTACCCTATGGAATTAAGTCTACATAATTTCTTGTAGTGTGAGGTGATAGGTGCTTGCTCTTAATAAGCAATGACCTCTTCTTTCAATGTTCAGAGGTATATGTAATGCCAAAATCATCAGAACAATTGTGCATATATTGTGTTTGTCAGCTTTTCATAGCTGTAATTAAAATATCTGAAAAAAAACTTAAAGGAGGTAAGATTTATTTTGGCTCATTATTTCAGAGGTCTCAGTTCTCAGTTGACTGATTATTGCAGAAACATCATGGCAAATGGGAAGCAGAGAGATTTAGAGAAGATATAATCTAAGGCCACACCCTCAGTGACTTAATTCCTCCAGCCACACCCCACCTGCCTAGAGCTAGCACTCAATAGTCCATTCAAATCATTATTTCATCAAATGGATTAGCCCACTGATGAGGTTACAGCTCTCATAATCCAGTCTTTTCACCCCTTAACATTACTGCATTGTTCAACACATGGGCTAGATCCAAACCATGACAAATAAACTCATCCCATTAGAGTCTTGGATGCTAACCTTGGCATGACAGACCCACCTTAGTTGGGCATTTAGTTAGCTGTGAAATTTAGTCACTCTGAATACAAATACCAAGGCCTACACAATGACTTTCTCTATTCCTCCACTAGAGTCAAGAAGAGCTTCTTTGTATGCAATCAAGAAGTCCTCTGACTTTTACATCTGGCTAACACTATATCTTTCCCACTATTTTTTCTCCTATGTTTCAAATGTATGATGCAACACACTTAATAATACATTCTTCTACTAGTGAAACCTCCTAAGTCACAAGTGAAAATGTGAACCATCCCTTGTGCAACAAGCCATCTGTGTTCCATCTTAACTAATGATGGGGTCCTCATTGCCAACTGGATGGTGGTGATCTAGCTCCAAAACCCTATCTACTTTCTCAATTCATTCCTTGTATCCATTAATTCAGATTATATCTCTAGAAGTAGATGCTAATATGAAAGAAAGAGGAAGGAAGCAGGACTGAACAGTAGAAGAAATCAAACTATGATAATCTGGCCCATATAACAGGAACCCATGGGATGAGTATCACTCATAAAAGTGTCCTTAAAATGTGAGGTTGTTGCTCAGTGACAGATCCCCTGCCTTGCACATATGAGGCACTGGGTTTGATCCTCAGCACCACATAAAAATAAATAACAAAATATTTTGTGTTCATCTATAACTAAAAAATATTTAAATAAACACCCTGCATTCTCCCACCTTGCTTATCCACAAAATGTAGTCTACCCCAGAAAGGGTATGATCTGAGATAAGGTAGCTCTTTTTTTATTATTAAGGTAGCTCTTTGCAGTTGAAACAGACTCTGCAGGATATGACAGCTGGAGGCTATCAACTGACTACTATCTCTACATGAGCCTTTCATTGAAGGGGATCTTCCTGTCTACCACAGCATCTTAAGCATATTCTTAAGAAAGAACAAAATTAAATATCTCCTATTAGTTTCTGTTTTCTTTTTTAAAGAAACCTTTAATAGATTGTGGGTCAGTTGTAGCTTATACAAATCCTATAAAAGCACAACCTTTGAAAACCACAACATATAGCCTAAACTAGAAGATCAGAAATTTTTCATAAAATATAAATATTAATAGAATTAAAATAACATCATTCCTGTCACTTTGAGCCTTAGTGCAATTTTCAATCAATGATGTGGCTATTAAACAAGATATTAAGAGAGATTCCTTATTCCTTTTTTGGGGAAGGCACTGTGGATTGAACCCAGGGGTGTTTCACCACTGAGCACCATACCCAGTCTTTTTAATTTTTTTCTTGAAACAAGGTCTCTCTAAGTTGCTGAGGCTGGTCTTGAACTTGCAATTCTCTTGCCTCACCCTTTAGAGTAGCTGGGATTACAGATATGTGCCACTGCACCTGGCTCTCCTTTTCAAAGATGGGCTCAACATAATGGCATCTAGTAATTTTAACCAGACATTTTTTTCTCTGAAAACTTTTTGCATCAATTCTTAAATAATAAGTATAATAAATATGTTGAATATATTTCTGTGTAGGATAAAGAACCAGATCTGTTCAGTAACCAAACAAATTAAAGTACTATTAAAGAATATCTGAGATGGGGAAAAAAAGAGTGTCCCAATGGATTCAGACTCATAGCTATAGTTTCTAAAACATTTTAGTCTTTAAATAGACAATAGTAGTATTTCCTTAAAAAGTGATTTATGAGTTACCTGTGTCAGAATCACTCAAGGTTCTTGGGAGGAAAAGGCAAAGTCTCTGGGGAAGTATCACCAAGAATTTGTATTTTTGTACCTTTAGCAGGCTATTAGGTTATGATGGAGCACAGAAAGTCTGAGAACCACTGATCAATAGTATGTTCACTGTTCAGTCATAGAGCAAACTGTTAAGCAATAGTGAAAGCAACATATGCTGAGCTCTGACTGTGTGCCAGGCACTATTCTCAGCTCTTTATGTGAGTTGTCTCATTTTGTAATCACTATAACTCTACAAGCAAGAGACTGTTGCAGCTTTCATTTTACAGGTTACAAAACTCAGGGATGCACATAGAAATTGGAAGATTTGAGTTAAAACACAAGAAGTTTGACTCAAAGTCTTAGGCACTCTTAACCACTAAACTTTGCTGTGGGCCTATGCCCAGGTGAGACTGCAAGAAAGCAAAGATTCAAGCCTTATGCAGATATCTTAGACATCTTCTCTTCCAAGAACTAAGAGTATTCTGAACTTTTCTTGTTAATAATGAAGATCTAATTACTTCAGTGTTTTACCTATTAAAAATATGATAATTTGGTATGCATATAATGCTTTTCAGATTATATGTATTTGCCTATTGAACCCAATGTCTGTGTAATGACATCCTTGGGAAGCGGTAAAGCATTCTAAAAATGAGGACTAGATCCTTCACAAAATATCATCATATCCTGTCCTTTTTGAAGAGCTGTCTGGCCTGATTCTGACTTTTTTTCAATTAATTGATATACCTATAAAATAATTAGCTCATTCCCTTTCTATCTCTCTGTCTCTGTCTCTGTCTCTCTCTCCCTCTCTCTCTCTCTCTCTACACACACACACACACACACACACACACACACACACACACATATATATACACAGCTAACTACTGTATCATCACTGGAATATTTTTAAAAATATGGTTCAATTTTTTATGACATCTTGATTGGAAACAAGGACATAGTTCATGTCAGAAACTGATGAAAATATGCTCTTGGATATTTATTAAAAACACAATACATCATCTCTATCATTATCAACTAAAAGCCACAACCCAGTATTCTTGAGAAAGTATTTTATTCTATACTGATTCACTAATCATGATGATGAGGATCCCAATCAAAAGGATATTATCAGTGTCAGAGCTAATCTTCTAACTTAGTGGTTGTGAGATACTTCTGTTGGCTTCCTATACTATATTTTGTTCTGTACTTCTGTGTAATACTATAGAGCTCTAATTAATTAGCATTTTATTTAAATGAGTTAAACCTATTTCTGATTCTAATAAAAAATAAAAATTCCCTTATCCTTTAAGTCTATAAAATTTTTTAATAAAAATTTTCATTCTAAGAAATTTCTCTTTAAAATGATATTTTATTCAACAAAGCACAATCATTAATATTGGAAAGTTTGTGTGGAGGTTCATGGAATAAAATTAATTTTCTCTCAGTCTTATTAGAGAGTTTAAAGAGCTACCTTTACTTCTCTTGAGCAAAAGGGAAGGAAAGATATCCAAATGTATCAAGCATGTCTTAATGCAAACTTTGTTGCATTGTATATTTATTTCAATTCATTACCATAAAAATTGGTAAAATGTACTATTAATCCTATTGTTATTCACTATTTACATATGAAGGAACTGAAGTTCAATGATTAATTTGTGTCCAAGGTCACACAAAAAGTAAATCAAAATCCAAGGGTCTTTCCCCATATACCAGGGTATTCCCAGAGAAAATGCTAGTAACATATTAATGAAACAATGTAATCTGATTTGCATATAAACTTAGAATGGAAGTGTGCAAAATGCACTGTAAGCCAATCTTTAATCCTAAGTATTGCATTTGCACACAGTCTTCACAGAGTGCCAGTTATTAATCCATGAATTGGTTTCAAAGAATAAGCACTGAAATTTATTATTCAGCAACCTAGATAGAACCTGGCAACAATCACAGTTTTTCTTACACAGACAATATTTCAATTGAGCAGATTTCTCTCCAATGATGTCACCAAAATACCTTAGTGTTTAAGTATCATAGACTGTTTGATAACAACAATTGGTAAGAAGGGAGACAATTGGGAAAACAAATTTTTGCATTAGGAATTTCCTTTCAAAAGAGGAAAAGTTACAAATGAAAGCTAATGGTTTAAAGACTTTTTACTAACATCAGACCTGATCTGTCTCACTAACCTCTTCCTAAACAATACTAAAAGCTTGTGTATCGAGAGGATAACATTAAAAGATCCATCACTCACAGAAGATAAAGTGGGTGTGGCCTTAAGGTTTACTAAAGGAAACCACTCTTCTCACTCTTCAGAATCCTTTGGTTTTAGTTTCCTTCTCAACTCTCTCCCTCTGTAAATACATGCAGACCCAACAGGTAGGAAACCAGTTAATTGCCCCACGTTTCATTTGTTTAAACTGATGAACATTCTCCTTCAGGAGCCAGATCATATTCCCTTATATAACTGATGTGTGTGTGTGTGTGTGTGTGTGTGCGTGTGTGTGTGTGTGTGTGTGTGTGTGTGTGTGTGTGATGCACTATTCTGGGACAGAGGGGCCAAGTAGAAATTCTGAGGGGCTATGGTGGAAAAACAGAGTTGCTCTCTCCCTTTCAAAGCTATGTCTGGAAGAGGGGGTGGGGACAATACTAACCCATCATCACGCTGCATGCCAGTCTCACACACGGATGCTTCTCCTTCATGTTCTCTGGGAAATTTCCCCCAGATTAGGAAAAGAACGGGAAGTCGGGTCTGCTACAAAAGAAGAAAGGCGAGTTTTTACCACTGCAGCACAAAGAAAAGCAGAGCGCACTTTCACATTATCGCAACTCCACTCTCTTGACCAGCTCTATACTTCAGTACCACGGAGAGCAGCACCGCCTCAGCTACCACCCATGGGGAGCCAGATTCCCGCGACTCTGCACCGGATCCCGGTCATCTAGAGGAGGGACAAGCCTGCGTATTCTACCCTCAATGTAAGTAGCTATGACGAGTCTTTCATATTGATTTTTTTTTCAGTAGAGATTGTTTTCTAGCTGAAATATGAAATTAATTAACTTTTATTTATTGGCCCTTTCTCTCTAGGTCATTGCTTAGATTTTTTTAGATATTGTCTGAATGTGACATCTTTCTTATTTGTTAAGTGGTAGGAATTTTTTTTCTTTTATTGACAGTCTAAGTTTACAAAGCCATTTAGAAATAGGCAACTCCTCCTGGTAAGCCTAGTCCTTTTGTACTGAAGTAGTATAGTTTTATTTCTAAAAGAGTATGTGTGTTGTCTACCTTTTCACTACTGAGAGCTTTTAGAATTTGGTGTTCTGTTGTTATTTATTTGAATATAAATATGGAGTTGGAAAGAGGAAGAAGGATATATTATAATAAATAGTCACTGTTAAAGAACTACAGGTGGCAAGAAAAGGGCTGTAATTTTCCTTTTTTTCTTTCTTATTGAAAATATGGTCTGAGCTCTATGTCTCCTTTAGACATCCATTTCAAAATAACAAATATGCTCTTAATAAAAGAGTTGTAATCTGGGCAGAGCTTTTACATGAGCTTTGATAATCTGGATCACAGAGTCTCCACTTTAAGTTTGAAGTTGTAAATTCACTTAGGTATGATTAAGGAGACTCGACAAAGATGCCATTGTCATTAATTATAATTTAAAGGCTTTAATGGATTCAGGGTAGATTTTAAAAAGGCAATAATGATTGACCCTGTCTGGTGGCACTCAGTGAATTTTTGCCTCAGAATGCCACCTGCTGGTGGGTCCTATTTCTAAAGTACTAAGCACACTTACCAGATTTATGAATGAACTCACATAAAATCCAGAATATTCATTATGGATATGATACAGACCCACTGTCTAAGGCCTTTTTAGCAATGACATTGACTCAATTTCTAATAATTTACCAATATTCTATGTTACAATTATAATTCCATAAATACTTATCTCCAAAAACACTTGCTCCTAGGCTTAGGGGCATGTAGACTAGCTAACTCCTTTAGGCAGTAATTAACCCAGAAAAAAAAATCAGAACTATGTGGAGCCTCATTGAGGCTAATTGCAGAATGCATGTGGTATCTTGGATGTGAACTACAGGAGCTGCTGCTTAGCAAAAGCAATCAACACTTCTCTGAGATAAATATTCAGCATGCTACTGTTTCCAGTATTTTCATTTCACAATTTAAAGGCCTCTGTTTTTCCTGGTGGTAGATGTTCACTTCAGACTCTTTTGGCACAGAGGTCAATAAAACCATCAGAATATCACACATATCTATTTTATTACAACATGAATCTTTTTATATGTAACTATTTGAACTTGTCATTTTAACTATCTGAAGTTGTACACAATGAGATATAGATATCCAGTTTCATAACTTCCTTGCCCAAATAAGCAAATAAAAATTTTTAAGGTAAGAAGAAAAAAAGGAAACAAACACAAAGCACTAGTTATATTTGGACAGCTAATATATAAGGTAGTTTGAAACTATTGAGAATAGCCTCTTCTCTAAATTACACTATTTTGTGAAAAAGCAAATTACTAATGGAGTCAGTTGTTAACTTTCAAGAACACTAAATAATATTATTCAATACAGATAGAATGAAAAAACTATCATACATTAGCAGAATTGTTTAGAAAGTATATCTTAATGTAATATATTGTAATGAGTAGCAGAGGGCCACATTGCTTGTTTCCTTAGGATTGGACTGGTTATATGTATGAACTGATGTACATAACAGAATAATTAGGTGGGTATCTCTTTGCTTTCACTCAAAACATATATGTTAGACAAGCATATTATTGTCACTAATTTAGGTGGGAAATTGAATACCTTAGACCCACAATTAATATTGATAAACTAAAAAAGTTAATATTCAATGACACTAAAGCACTTATTAGGTACTAAGTAATGTATATTCACTATATCACTTCAACTTCAACATAATATGGAAGATGACATTTAGAAATAAGTTGGATGCCTTTGGAAATATGCAAAAATTTTCAGTATTATGAAAGGGAAATGTCTCAATTTTCTGCCTCAGTCACTCAAGGGGTTTAATATAACTTCTTATATTAGCTGTCTCATCTAGTAACTTATGGGTCATCATATATAATGAGCTAATTGAAAATTGATTTTACTTTGGAACCATGCCTTATTTAATAGTTGTCACTCAGAAATAGGAAATCGTGGTTTATAAGATTATATGGTTCCTCTATTTGTAAGAAATAGGATGCTGGTAAACACTAACACCTCTATTTTATTGGTCTTCTTGAAAGGCCAGCCCAGATCAAGCATTTAAGAATTCATTAAATTATCTGACCATGCACCATGTGCCAAATATCAGGTCTACTGGGCACCAGGTGCATATGCCACACAAACAAGCAATCATCTTGCCCTCAAGTATCCTTCACTCTAATGGAAAATTTTATGGACAAAAGAAACTTAATGAAATGCAGGAGGAAGATGGATGGCAATGGCACACCAGCATAGACTTTGAAATCAGACAGACTAGACTCCGAATAGTAGGTGCATTACTAACAAGTTCTATCATCTGGGAAATATGGTTAATCTAAATTACCTCATTTCATCATCTGTTAAAACAGAATGAAAATAGTACCTAAATAATGAAGTAGTTTGTGAGAACTTAAAATGATAATGCATGTAAAGTACTCAGCATGAAGGTTGGCACGTAGTTAATGTGTAATAAATGTTAATCATTATGATTGAGTAGTCATTTAAGAAAATAGCTAAGCTTATCATATGATAATTTATTTAAAACAATAATTCATATAAATCACTTATAGTGTCTGGCACATGATAAATGTATAATATATGTTAACTATCACTGTTACATAGTCATTTTAAAATGTAGTGAAGCTGAGTATATCAGTGAAGGGTAAAATCTGAATCAATTTAAATAATTTTGTACTTAAGTATATTGGTACTTAAGTGTATCAATATGCAAGATTTTTAATCATTATTGTCATGAATATTTGTAAAAAGCTTTATAGTGTTCAAGGCATTTGGCATGCACTATTTAATCTTTAATGTGGTCCTAAGAAACATGAGAGATGAATTTTATTACTCCCTTTATAATGGTGAGAGAACTGAGGTTTATGAAAAGACTGCAGATCACTTTACTATTTTATCACTTTCACTAAAACTCAGAAGGTATACAGGCCAAAGCTGGGTTTTCCTGGGTAACTGATCTGACTCCTGGATTTTGTTTGATTCTACATTCAGTTGGGGAATGTCATAGACTGACTTGATTTCAGGCTTGAATAATTTTCACAGAGACTTTTGATGCTTATGGCATTTTAATAAAAAAATAGATCACTAAAAGACATTTTAAGAATTCTTTTCTTAATAAATAATTAACCACAACCATACCTGTCTCTAAAGGCTTTATGGTCATGTTTATTTGCAATGGAGTTAAGGTGCAAGATTCATACTTTTCACAGATTACTCACATCTGGCTTCTTTCAGACTGGTTGATGCATCTGTAAGCAAAGCTTGATAAAAATAGCAACAGAGGGAGTAAGAGAGAGTTTAATAAGCAGTTCTCCTCTCAAATATGGTTTTATTTCCACTGGAACCTTCTCCTCAATGACATAAAATGTCAATGTATGCATTTTTAGAAAAAGAAAAACAGTATCTTAATTGAGGTGTTTGATGAGTTTGATTATTCATTATCTCAATGATATATTCAAATATAAAAATATTTGCATTCAAAGTTCATTTTTAAGAAAAATATTAAAGTTGGGGCAAATATCAATTGCATTTTAGGAAGAATCATTTTTCTTCATTTTTGACCCTAAAATGGGGATAGGATCAACAAAGTCCAGCAAGGGAACATGTTGGATTCATGAGTGGGAGTTCTGACCACCAGCTCTGTGGGCCAAATAACTATCTTTACAACACATCATCTTTCTCATGGTTTCTTTCCAACCCATGGGATACATATAGGTAAATCATGAATATCTATAATTTTAAGATAAAATGGCAAAGACATGGTAGCTAAATGTATTTATAAGTGTCCAAATGTTTAAAAGGCATCATTAGATATTAGAGAGGTGCTTCTAAGAGGGAGTCAGAATTACCAAGAAGCCCACAATAAGGTTAAAAGGCCTCCATCAATCTGAATCATGATTGAGACATGGCTCCAGGGTCTATGGTGAAACCCCTCAATTTGGAAGCAATCTCATTGGGTAGCACATCTCATTGCATGTGCATATGAATAAGTGACTTGAAAAATGGATAAGGTTTCATTTTTTAATGCCAAATTCCTTTAGAAAGGGAGCATAACTGACCATTTTGGGGGCGTCCAAATGTTATCTTGAAGCTGAGGTTTTAACGGCTGTGAAAGAGAGGCTTGTTTATTTCTTGCTACATCTGGGTGTCTGCTCTCAAGGTCATTCAGAAAAATGCATGACAACTGGTGAAGACATTTTAAGTTCTGAGAAATACCAGCCACCCATGCACACTTTTTATAATTATTATAGAAACAGCAAGATGTATGTGATGTCCTACCTTCTGCACAAATTATTTGCCCCAAGGTTTATTCTTTTCACTTAACCTATCTCAGTTTCTTCACCTAAAAATGAGAAAGCTACCACTTTGCTTTTTATTGTTTCATTGATGAGGGAAATAAAAAAATTATATTTGAGCATCCTTTAAGTTTGAAGGCTTCAGCATCTATGATGTTCATGTTAACTCTGAATTTAGATTGGGTACTTCTGAAATGATTTTCT